AAAATTTTAATTTTAACAAAAAATGGCATTGGCAGAATTCAAAAAATGATAAAAAAGTTAGAGAACCTCTCATAAGAGCTACACTATTATGTACATGGCAGATGCTCCATTAATTCCTGTAAAAATAAGCTAGTGGGGAGTAGAAGGGAAGACTAATGAGCCGTAAATATCTCAGAACTCTGGACAAAACAGATAAAATTTTCCATCTCAAAAAAAGTTACAGTAATTAGATTCAGAATTGTTACTAGACCTATTTAAAGTGATATAATGACAAAAATCATTATTTAAATAAGAGTTTTAATTATTCCTGCTCTGTGATGCTATCTTATCAGGGACCAAGAATTTGCCATGAACATGTTGAAATGATGTGTAATCAACAAGGATGCTAAAGATAAATTCTTAGAGATGTGAAGCAAATACTTCCTTTCACTGTAAACAAAATGACTCAGTCCACTTCTTGAAGAAATCAAGCTCTATTTATATTCACTCTCCTGAAATGGCACAGGCAGCCTTAGAAGGATAAGTTTATAATAAATCCCTATATTTGGAAAACATTGTTGCTAAGCATCTTCTAACATTCAACAGAGTTTATATAATTCATGTCACTGCTACATAATTAACATTTCATGTTTTTCCAAAAAAGTGCAGTATGCTTATCTATGTTATTAATTTAAAACATTATAAATTTTGAGAGAATTAATAAAAGGTGATGCAACTAATTAATTAGAAAGGCAGCCTAATCCCAGGAGGAATACAAACATAGACATTAAATGTCAGGATGTGTTAGAGTCAAGCTTGTAAACAACTTGTCTGCTTGAGATAAAACATTTCAAAATACAGCTGCTCTTTGCTTAAAAAGGTGAACTATAAAACATTAGGTCTTTGAATAAGTCATGACATATCAAACCACACTCTAGCTCAAAAATTAAAAAGAAAACATAACATTTGAAAATAAGATTCACGCCCAGTCATCAACATTAAACGTATCTGCTCAGATAATAGGAGATTCAAGTGTTGAAAGCAACACTAACTACTGTACTATTTCCAACTTTCATATTCATTATGGGAATAAAGTTAAAAGATATGGAAAATATTTAATAACACTTGACTAAAAGATTAGAAAAGTTTAGACTAAGCGCACTCCAAAAGATATAGTATCACTCTTGCAAACTATGGAATAAACTGTAACTTTCTATCCTCTGGAAAAGAATACACAATCTACATATACACTACAAGGATTCAGTATTATTAAATAATATCCCACAAACAATAACCTTTGGATTACAAAAATAATTAGAAAGCATAGTTCACTATATTTTATGAAATTTTCGATCATTTCAATTCATGCTATTACTAGATATTCATGCATGTTTTGTTTAAAAGGGCAGAGCTTCCTCCACTACACGGCAGTCCAGGAAGAGGGAAAACCATCAGAGACACAACACACAAAACGCACAATGAATACACAATGAATACACAGGTCCACAAATCATAAGCAAGCAAATGTTTAGGAAAAACACATGTCTGGGTTCTTATTTGTATTCTTAATTGTTAATTCTTAACTGTTTCCTTACTTGTGGTTTTTCTATCTTTCAGAATTATTTGCCTTTTTAAGTTTATTCAGAACCATTATACATAACTTGCAAGACAAATTTGGACATTGATTTTCCCGAGTGAGACGGTTAGATGACGTACTTTTGAATAGTACATTACTATAACATAAAAACTCTGGGAAGAAACTCAACACTATTAGAGGTAGTCAAAGAATTACATTACCTAAATTTAATCCAGTTATTTAAATAAGTTACAGAGAATCTTCAAAAACTGGGTAGTTAGATGGCCTAAATCACTGATTCCAAAGTGTAGTACTTGGACCAGCAACATTGGCATCCCCTGCAAGCTTGTTAGAAATGCAAATTCTTGGGCCCCACCTATACCTACTGAATCAGAATACAGCCCAGAACTGTGTTTTAACAAGCTCTACAAGTGATTTCTAACACTAACACTCTCCACTTCTAAGCTGGAGAACCACGCACCTAAATCAATGACTCAAATGCCTACTCACAGGCAAGTACAAGACCGGCTACTTCAAAAATCACTTGGGAAACATTATACATCCAGATTCCAGTTCCCCACTTCCCTTAACCAATTAAGTTATCAGGTGGAAATGTGTGAGCCTGAGTGTGCGAGCATGAGAAAAAAATGTGTGTATGTGTGTGCATATAGCTTCCCAAGTGAGTCTGAGGCATAATGATGTTTAAAAACCAATGCTCTAGGTCAATGGCTCTCAAGGTGTCCCCATACCAGCAGCAGCAGCAGCAGCAGCATTACTCCAGAACTTGTTTGAATTCTCAGGCATCGGCTCAGACCTACTAAATCAGACACTGTGGGGGTGGGGCCCAGCAATCTGGTTTAGTAAGTTCTACAGATTTATCATGTGATTCTGACACATGATAAAGTTTCAGAATCCCTGTTGAGTGATCAGTCCTGAACTAAGAACATTTGAATAAATTTTAATTCCATGGGGGAGAATAAATAATAGAGACAGAATTAACTTACATACCCTTCTCCATCTCCTAAAGATGGGAGTCTCTTATCATCCAAACCGACAAATCTGGTTAAGGTGCCTTAACTACTCAGACATGCCAGTGGCCTTTCATAAGCACTCCACTTAAGCACAGCACAACTAGTAAACAATAAAAATGCCTCCTGAAAAGCATTTGTTTTAAACAAAATTAGTTAAAGTCCACAGTGAAAGCCAAAGCCAAGAAATCTGTCAGTAGGAAGGCAAAAATGGACTGGAAATGTTAAAAACAGTGGCAGCATTTATTTAATACAGCCTCACCGTCCTATATTTTTGAGGATTACATAGCACTTATAACTTGTTCTTTGCTACTTATAAAGGTAGGAATAACCAGAGTTCCTTCCTAAGCACAAAGCAGAAATTTCCAAGGGTATGGGGGGGAGGGGGAGATGAATCCCAATAGGTGTTTAGAAACAAAACTAACCTCAACTCCGAGGTTAATAAACATTTTTCACCTCTACCAAGGGTGAGGGGTAGTAATTACATCTCCCAGCTTTCACATATATTTCTCAGATTATCCTTCAATTCAATGACAAAATACTTATCGAGCACCTATAATTGTACCACAAGTCATTAATATTGCCTCCAAAGATTAAGATACCACCATGACTCTTTCTTAAAAAAACAATAATTCTAACTTTATGAGTAAATCTAAGGTCAGTGTAATGATTGTGACTGCTTCCATTTGCCCAAGGAAACTAAGCATGTTTTAAAAAAAAAAAAAAAGTATGAGTCCAAACTTGCCTAGGTATTTATTTTAAAAGACTGAGAGCCACTCAAATTATCCCCTAATAATTCCTCTAAATTTAGGTGGGATGCAACATTAAATGTTCAATTCTTTTATTTAAAACTAAAAGAGTAACTCAAATTTACCATATGGAATAAATTTTTTTCTTATGTTCAATGCACACATAATATATGGGTATGCCAATGTATGTTCAATAAGTTGGATATACCTATGTCCATTCTATAGCACTTAGAGTGTAACTGTATTGTTTTAAATGCTCACAGATTCACAGTTGTGTTAGCTTTCTTCTAAGTCACACTATTAACCAAGTTTATAGTTTACTCAAATTCAAGTTGTTGGTCAAAAATTATAATACAAAGGATCAATGAAACAAAAAGTTGGTTCTCTAAAATGATAAACAGAACATACAGAACATGAGCTAGATTAACCAGTAATAGAAAAGAAAGGATTCAAATAACCTCAATCAGAGATGAAAAAGATAGGCCAGGTGTGGTGGCACACGCCTGTAATTCTAGCACTTTGGGAGGCCAAGGCAGGAGGATCACTTGAAGACAGGAGTTCGAGATCCGCCTGAGCAAGAGTGAGACCTCCTATCTATAAAAGTAGAAAAACTAGCCTGGCTTGAGCCCAAGAGTTTGAGGTTGCAGTCAGCTATGATGAGGCCACTGCACTCCAGCCTGGGCCACGGAGAGAGAGACCCTGTCCCTCCCCGGAAGGAAGGAAGGAAGGAAGGAAGGAAGGAAAGAAAAAGCGAGTTTTTTCAAATTGTTGCAAATCTCCAAAAAATTCTGTATTATTTTTTGTTGCTGTATTGTTACTTTTGATTGTGGTTTTTTTTCCCCGAATATTTTCAATCCATAGTTGGTTGAATCCACAGATACAGAGGGTCAACTGTAAATGCTTTAACAGTGGCTTTCTTTAGGAAGTCGGATTGAAAGTGATTCTTATTTCTTATTTATAGTTTTCTGAATCATCTAGGTTTTTTCAATAGATATATATTTTATGATTAGAAAGAATAAAGCTATTTCCATTAAGAAATAAGTGAAATATAAACTATCAGTATATACACTGAAGTCCATCAATATAGACTCACTATAGGAAATCACATTCACCTGCTTCATTACACAAGGCTTTCAAGTCTGCTCCAACATATCCATGAGCACTATTTGCCAGCTGTAGCAGTTCAGCTTCAGTGAGCAAATGGGGTACCCTTCGAAGCAGTTTCTGGAGAATATCTAGCCGGTCCTGAGCATTAGGAATGCCAATCTCAATCTCTTTATCAAATCGTCCAGGTCTTCGGAGTGCAGGATCCAAAGCATGAGGGCGATTTGTGGCCCCAAGGACCAACACTTGTCCTTCACTTCCTTCCTAACAAAATAAAATGAAAATACATTACATATTTTTCTAAAAGATTTAAAAAAAAGGGGGAGAGTAGGCTGACACTGACTATATAGACAAGGATGAATCTAACTGTCCAGGATACTAAATCCTATCCCTTACACTTTTATTACCCATTTATTACTTTTATTACACATTTTTCAAAGCTCAGCCTAACCACTTCCTCCCCTAGAAAGCTTTCTAATACTTACCTCTCCATCTACTATAAGTGACATTTCTCTTAGCAGATCACCTAAACTATACCATTCTCATAAACAACCTATAATAGTCTACCATATAGTTGTTTCTGTTTAGTTGTTTTAAATAGTCCTTTTCCCTTACTTAGAAGATTATGACCTACATACAGAACAAGACTCTAAGTTGCCTAAGAATTCTTCCTCACATACTATTTTCTTTTTTATTCTGATACATTTTTAAGTTCCTGAAAAGACAGCCAACAATATAACCAATATCCAAGTATCAACCATTCTTGAATACATACGGATTTTTACTCTCTGAAAATGAAATTAGGAACAACAAATAATAAAGAACTATGATCATGATCAGCCACCCACAGAAATTATCCAATGTTTTATTCAGGTGACCCAAGTGTAATCTCAGAGACAGGCATAACTGGAATGTGATTTACATAAAAAAATTCAAACCTAATAAATTATATTGAATGTGCCAACAGAAAATGCATGAACTACAGTGAATCTATGAATTACGAGTTTAGAAGCACAAATACAGGCCCTTAAATATTTTCAGACTAAAACGTCAGTGTCACATGCTTCCTGTCCTGCCCAAAGCCAAGAACACCAATCCACAAGAGACGTATTCCAGACGCAAAGAGGCAACTGACAGTGATCGATACACTTCAACATTGAGCCTGCCACCTGATTTCCTACTCAACAAGAACCCTTCTGATTATAATACTGCTTTATTATATTATAGATACAGAATATATCTACCTTCAAGGTAAAAATATAGTCATCCATAAATATAATATTTGGTCCACTTAATAGTTACATTTCTTATTGTATTATAAATGGACAAACTGGCATCCCAATTTACACATCAGTCTCTTGCGAATGTTGTTATCATGGGTCAGTCCTCAGAGCTCCATCACCTCCAACATACTAACAACATGAAATTCTCCAACTTTATAAGCTGAGAACCAAGCCTGGGACATGACAATCACACTTTGGTACTGCCCCAGGACTGAGAACTAGGTGGTCATCCAGCCTCCACCAGGTGACAACCTTTCTCCTGTAGACCCTTAAAAGTATCAACACGTTAGTAAATAACAGACTTAATAACAAACCTTCATATTATTTTCACATATTCAATTTCTACCACTAGACAGTAAAACCCAAAAAATTCTAATTGTCCAGTTTTTTAACATGCACAAAGGGGCTTAGGACTATACAATTTCTAAAATTTCTAAAATTTCCTTTGGTTCTAACATATTATGCTTCTAATAACCTTTAGTTATTTACAATCCAGGAAAAAAATGTATTTTTTTAGTTAATGGATGTCAAGAGTCTGAGAGGATTTTTTTTTATTGCTATTCTCTATATTAGTCCTATGTATCTTCCTCTCATAATTAGCATACAGTTTTTTTATTAATACAAGAATGTATACCTATCATAGAATCTGGTAATATGAGTAAATTCTTTTTAAACGTTCTACACATTTTCCATTATTCTCATCTGCTTTCCTTCAAATTGCCTAGCACAAAGCCTTGAATCAACTTTTACATGAGTAGTAAGACTCACAAATCAAATTTCTTAATGAAATCACTGAAAATTTAACCACTGAATCTTCCTTAGTGATCTTCACTTCAAGTTTTTAAGTTAATAGTATTTATCACAAAAGAAATCTATCACAATACATTATTTTACATGCCATAAAAAACATGCCAGGTTATGATGCTGTCCTAGCCGTTACAAAATACTAAAGAATCTACTGAAGCTAATTATTTCATGGGTCTTTCCTCTAGTTGCTATGGCTAATATTTCTCCTTTTTCCTAGAAGACCCAAAGACTCAGAAACATTCAATAGTTTTGGATTCTACATATATTAATATATTAATAAGAATCAACTAGCTGGGCATGGTGGCTCACACCTGTAATCCCAACACTTAGGGAGGGCTAAGGTGGGAGGATGGCTTGAGGCCAGGAATTCAGGACCAGCCTAAGCAACATAGTGAAGCCCCAGCTCTACAAAATAGAAAAAAAATTAGCCAGGCGTGGTGGTGTGCACCTGTAGTTCCAGCTACTCTGGAGGCTGAGGCAGGAGGATCCCTTGAGCCTAGGAGTTAGGGGTTGCAGTGAGCTATGATGATGCCACTGCACTCTAGCCTGGGCAACAGAGCAAGACTCTGTCTTTGGGGGGAAAAAAAAAAAATTCCACCCCTTCAACCCTTTCCCACACAGAATCAATACTATTGCTCTACTTACTGAACCAATGCCATCCATCAGTGTTAAGAGTGAAGCTACAACTCTTTTTTCCACCTCATTCTGAGCTCCCTCTCTTTTAGGGCAAAGTGCATCCAGCTCATCAATAAAAATAATTGATGGGTGCCTAAAAGCAAACAAAATGAAATCCCTAATTTACATTTAGTTTTAAATTACATTTAGTTTCAATTTTTTAACTGAAATGCAACATACCAAATTTAGGATTTACTTAATAATATTACAAAAGGCATTAGAATGTTAAGCTAAAAAACCTTAGATTAATTCTAGCCCAAATTATTAACTTCTCAACCTCACATTCTAGTTTATCTGCCCTCAATTAAAAGGCAGAGTATTTAGAAGAGTCTATTGCTCACGAGATGAAATGCCATGCCCTGGCAGAACTTTCCCACTAATGCCCACTAAATAGTTATGACTGGGTGAATTCAGAAACTGAGGCCAAAAATATTGTCCCTTGGGACAGGTTTAAAGTCCAAAGGACATAAACTAGAAATGTTTTCTTAACCTATTTTAAAAAAGATTCAAGATGATCAATTCTCTCATAAAAAGATGTGAATTCTCTTAGAAATGAAAACTTCAACTGCCATAAACAAAATAACAATAAAAACATACTAAAACAGTAAGGTATACCACTGGTTCTCAAATTTTCAGTACAGTACTAGAACTACAAACTACTTATTTTATCTACTATCACTGGGGGAGGGGGGTGGGAATCTTTAAAAATGACAGTTCTTTTGATAAAAGAGCAGTAATCATGATGCTAAATACCAAAACAATGGTAGAGACATGGCTGTATTATGAATAATATTACATTAGACCAAGTTATGGATCATACTCTAATACCCATTACAATGTAACAGTGTAGTCTAAACTCAGTAATAATCAATAATAGTTTTTAATGATCAAAAGATTTGTCTCATTGAAGCAAAGTTTAATATAAAAAAATTTAAGCATAAAGGGCTATGACAATACAATCTACTAGGGGAACTAAATATACTGGATATGCCTAAATACCCTAAAGAAACAAAGTCATAGACTTACATGCTCGAGCAAGGTCACATGGCTTATCAAACGACTGTCTTAATTCTTCTAATTTATGTAATTTAATAACTCGTTTATCAAACTTCTAAAACAATATTATACAGAAAGAGTAGAATTTCATTAGATTTACAATCTATTTCTAGTTCTATTACTATTATTTTGTACTATTCTTTATGCTTTCTATGCAGTGCTAGTATCTCATTTTGATTAACACAGACTATTAATTTCAAAACATTTAAAAATAAAGAGTACCGTAGAGTGGCTTCAGCAAATATCTGACGCAACCTTGCTTCAGTCTCACCATAGAATCTGCAAAAAATAAAATACATTTAACGATTTCTTATTGTTTTTAGAGATTTGTCTATAAAAGCTAATTCGACTTTTCAAATATTTCTAGATACTTAAAATTACTTTAAAAAGTTATTTTCTAAACTTAATTTTTATACATATTAAAGAACAAATTTAAAATATTTCGGTGTATGAAACATTCAGACAGAATACCACCCAGCCATTTTTAAAAACCACATTTGAGAAGTGTATTTAATAATTTTAAGTTTACTCTATTAAATCATACACCTACTTGCTTATAATTTCAGGACCATTAATTACAGATACATAGGCTCCGACTTCGTTAGCAACAGCCCTGGCAATCATTGTCTTTCCAGTACCTGGAGGGCCATAAAGTAACACTCCTCTAGGAGCAGGAATTCCTAGAAGAAAAAGAAGAGAACACTGGATTGATTCAGCCTTACTAGGTTTCTTATAAATGCTGCCATACAACTTCAAAGACAAGTTATAAAATGTAAATTCACCTTGCATCACAAAAAAGAGTCAGACTTTCTTTTTCCCCCAAGAAAGGTGTACTAACTAGCCCAAGCATTGATCCCCAGCAACGACTTTTTCTCTCTGTATACCACATAATGGAAGAAGCATGTTGTAAAAAACTGGACATCCACATTGTTGTCATGCCCCATCCCACACAGTACTGTTTAATGATCAGAAAACAAAGCCAGCCAACATGGACAGACAAAAACAAGCCACCAATCCCAATTTCTTCCCAACTAGCCATCTGGAAGATTATAAACATTACTAGCAAAACGTCAATCCAAGGGTTCATTTTATATATAAAAAGACTGATGAAAAGGAAAAACAGAGAGATAGTATATAGCAAATATATGCAAAGGATCTGCACAATGACTATACAAAGGAAGCCCTGAGCTTCCTGAGAGTCAAGCCACTCCTTTAACTACTTGCTTCAATGCAGAGATCAGCACACAGCTGCCTTTCCTAACAAAAAAGTTTTATTCAATGTATTTGAGTAGTTTTTCTTTAGTCATTACAGCTGATCTAGCATGATAAGATACTTATTACAGACCTAATATAAGCAATTGTGGAAATATGCTATTAAAAGAGACAGGGCTATCACTAACTTAAATTACAACTTAAAGAGACCAAAGCACAAAAAATGGCTAATTTAGCTGGCATTTCCCATAGCACCTGGTATCTTCTACTGTACCTACTACTCGAGAAATAAAAAAAGGAAAAGAACATGAGCAACCATTAGATAAGTGGAATTGATCAACTATTTTTAGTTTAAATTTAACACTTTCAGGTGCAATAAAATAAGAAATCATACCATAACTCTTGAAAAGTTTGGGCTGTTTGAGAGGCAATTCAATCATTTCTCTAATTACTTTCAGCTGACTATTTAAGCCTCCTATCATGTCATAAGTTACTCTGAATTGGTTATCTTGCTTTTTTGAGTTTGCACGATTCTTTATAAAACGGATTCTTGTTGTTGAAGAAATAAAATAAAAAGCATCCGTATTGCGCTTTGCTCCCATGCTGGTGGATTTTAGCAGTCTCTCGTCATTTTTAAGTTGCTTATTTCCTTTTCTGGCAGACTCAAAACTACATTTAAGACCTTTTACTTCCTCCAGTCCAAGTCCACTGCCATCCCCAGGGCTCTGTGTAACATCCAACGAAACATCACCAGCTTTATTCATAAGTCTGTCATCTACTGGTTTACGAGGAGTACTTCTTGATGCTGGATTCTGGGGCTCTTCCAGATCTAACTGGCTTAGCTGTAAGGATAAATCCAGGCTACTGGTTTCCATGCTGGACCGTCGAGAGGCCACTCCCTGGGCATCAGTGTCAGCGTCATTCTGAGGCCCTTTCAACATCATACCATCTGCCCCTTTAACTCGCAACACTTGCAACTTGCATGGTCGTCCATAGAATGTACAATACAGAAAGTTGCCTGGTAAAATAATCTTGCCATCTAGAAAACAATTTATTAAATATATATGTTAGCATAATTTTTCACCAGTTTAATGTTTAAATAGCAATTTATTTCATCTATTAACAAAACTATCTGACTAAAAGTACTAAATCAAAAATGGAGTATTAATAAAGTAATTGTCATGAAAAACAATATTCTCCCATAATATAGAACTATCTGAAGGACAAGATGATTCTTCGAAATCCTCTATAATCAATAGATCTAAGATTCTATTAACTGTATCAACAAGTAGCCAAGCATTCCATGTTCGCTAGACTAAAATGGCACACCTAAATGGCAACACTCCAAAACAATGTTTCTCACTGGAAAAAGGAAGAGCATAAGGGTTAAAAAGTCTCAATTCTACCACTGACTTTATCCATATTCAAGTCATATTCTGTCTACTGCTCAACTGCCAATCAATTAACTGGGAAAAGTAACACATCCCCATCTTAAAAGGATATTAATTCATTGAGGGGAATATTCTCTAAGCTATTTTGAAGAAAACTACTATGTATACAAGACCTCAAAGACATTTTATTTGCTGCTGCCTTCCGCTTAAAATGTAGGAAAACAATTTCAAATATACGTCTCACCTAGTTTTCTCAGAATACAACCAGTCAGTTCTTCTTCATTAATGTCCATATCTTTGTCACTGTAAAAAGGAAGACAAGGAGACAGAAATCAGCATTACGTATACCAGAAACTAAACTATGGTATAAAATGACGTGTATGCAGTTATAATATAGACCTAACCAAAAGAATAACTCATTTACAGACTGAAAATAATTTATACAATTTTGAAATGATTTACATTTTTCAGATACTTCTTATAGCCATGAGACTATCATTTGCAATTTGGTGCCTTAGTGGCCTAAATCAGTGTTCTTCAACACATAGGGTATTATCCATTAGTGGGGTCATGAAATCATTTCAGTAAGTCCCATCCAGCATTTTTTAATAGAATAAGAACTGTCAGAGTACACTGCACACATGAAGGATAAATACTGCTTTGTAAAATATTAATTTTTTACACACACATATACATATAGGCACACACACGTGCTGTATCGGTGGATGAGTGAATCATGATGAAAAATGTATTTTTTGTCATGTGTCATAGCCAAAAGCATTTGGGAAACACTGACCTAATCATTCCTTCTGTGAACTTGCCTAGTTTGGAGAAAGGCTATTATTAATAGTTTACTTCATTCCCTCTATATAATTTATAAATTATCTCTTCAAGAAAATTAAATCCTATAGTATGTTACCTGAAGAGGTAGAAATAGAAAAAGGGAGAATAATGGTTACAATGAAGGTTTATTCTGGAGAAAGGGCATACCTAATAAAAATAAGATCCCCTGCTTCCTAATGATAACTGTATCTTACAAGAGAGTTTCCTGTTAAAGTGCAGGAAGTGAGCACACCTAAATATCACTACACTATATAAAGAAACCTGCTTTTGGAGAGTTCTCAGAACATGAGCATTTTTCTTCCTCCTCCATGCATAAGCAGCCTATATCAGGAGAGAAGTCAAAGAACTATCCAACTTTGTCAATGACTAGTGGAGAGGGGGATAGTTTAGCTCTGGGGGAAGTGTATTTATTAGCAAGCCCATCTGGTCAAAACCTAAATCTTATTCTCCAACCACGTTATCAGTAATAAAACAATACAGTCAATCCTCAATATCTGTATGTGATGTCATTGTAAATTCACCTACTCGCAAAAATATATTGTACCCCAAAATCAATTCTCAAGGATGATTTGCAGTCATCAGTGAACATGGAAGAGGAAGAAAAACTTTGGGTCACCCAACACTCATGTTCCATCTGAGGTAGGACAAAGTGACACTTTGCCCCTTGTTTCAGCTCTCACTCAGAAATAACCACAGAATGTACACAGCAGGGAGCAAGCACAATGTAGTACAAGAAGCCCCAGCTCTGGGGCCAGCTGGACAGGGTATCCAACTCTGGTACCTGTAGTGGGGTAGGCTCAGGCAAATCCCTTAACACTTCTGAACCTCCTCTTTTGTAAAATAAAGAAAATATTATAGAATCCACCAGAATGAGTTGCTTTGAGGATTTAAGATTATAATTTATGGCCGGGTGCGGTGGCTCACGCCTATAATCCTAGCATTCTGGGAGGCCGAGGCGGGTGGATCGCTCAAGGTCAGGAGTTCGAGACCAGCCTGAGCAAGAGCGAGACCCCGTCTCTACTAAAAATAGAAAGAAATTATCTGGGCAACTAAAAATATATAGAGAAAAAATTAGCTGGGCATGGTGGCCCATGCCTGTAGTCCCAGCTACTCGGGAGGCTGAAGCAGTAGGATCACTTGAGCCCAGGAGTTTGAGGTTGCTGTGAGCTAGGATGAAGCCATGGCACTCTAGCCCGGGCAACAGAGTGAGACTTTGTCTCAAAACAAGAAAAAAAAACGATTATAATTTATGTAAGACATGTATATGTATGTACATATTTCCCCCTAGGAGAAATCATTCAGTATCTGCTAATAGTGTTCAAGGCAACTTTAACAGAATATAAGTACCACAAATCATGAGAATCAACTATATATTCATATTAAAGGGAGAGTAAGAAAGAAATAGAACAAGGAAGAAATTTCGTGAATCAAATATATGTATAAACTAATGAAGAAATTGTATGTATCTCCTTAAATGCTTACATACTTCTGTTTATAAAACTCTGAATCAAGTTATACTTGAATTCTTTATTACTTTGACTAGAAGATATTTATAAAGATGTACAAGAACAGTAAAAATACTTAACCAGTTTTGTTTTTAAAAAAAAGAATGGGCATTTAGGGGCAGTGACTCACATCTGTAATCCCAGCACTTTGAGAGGCCAAAGTGGGAGGATCTCTGAGGCTAGGAGTTCAAGACCAGCCTGAGCAATAGAGTGAGACATCATCTCTACAAAAACCAGAAAAATCAGCCAGGTGTGGTGTGGCTTGCACTGTAGTCCCAGCTACTTGGGAGGCTGAGGCAAGAGCCCAGCCCAGGAGTTTGAAGCTGCAGTGAGCTATGATGACTGTACTCTAGCCTGGGCAACAGAGCAAGACCCTGATTCAAAAAAAAACAGAAAAGAAATGAAAAAGAATGTGTATGGGTGCAGATAAAATCATTTCCACTAGAAGGAGCTCTAACACTACTAATAAAATTTTTCAGTTGCAAGTAAAAGATTTAAGCAGATTAAAATTACTTATTTTCCTAATTGGAAATTAACTTTCTTGTCTACACTCTGCTGCCACATTTAAAACATAAGGTTTTTTTACGCAAAAATTTTAAAACTAAGCTTTCATTTAAAACATACACAGTCCTCTATAATAAGCAATCATAGTTCACCTAAGATTGTTATGCTTTCAAGAAGTCAGACTAGTTTGGAGATCATCATAAACGCTAATTCCAGTCAACTGATTGCTGCTACCTGTAGCACTGTTTTAAAATGTAGTCTGAGGATTAATCTGGTTTAATCTAAGCAGTACTACTAACTAGTAATATCTCATTAAATAGTAGGCAAGTTACTTCTCATTTAGCCCATTTCCTCATTTGTTAAATAAGGGATAAATATGGATACCTTGCAGATGTTAGAGCATTCAATTGGAGAAGAAAGAGGGTAAATGTTTATGTGTGTGCGTGTACATATAATGCGATATATATAAAGCATCTGGTATACAGCTGGTACTCATCATGTTGTCTTCTCTTTTCCTTTCTGCTTTTTATTGTTCAATAAACTATTATTACATGCTCTGAAAATATGATCCTGTTTTCAAAGGGAAAAATACGCCAAAACTCAACCTTAGAATCTACAAAAATATTAAAAGAGAAGAAAACATTTTAAAATAAAGCTAATGACTAGAAAATGTGTTGCTCCATGAATTAATATATTGGAGACAGGAAACGTCTCAGGAGTTTTGTAGAGCTTTGCCCTGAAGGAATATGTGAATGTGTTAGTTTGCATATCGAAAGCTGTTTCACCTCAGGAGGGCAGCTCTGAAAGACAGTGGCGGCTGTAGCCCACAAAGGCACGGTGATTCTCAGACCTAAAGGTTTGGACTTGCTTTGTAAAGCAAGGCAAGTCTGCTAAAAACTACAGGATGAGAGCTGATCAAAGAGTGCCTCCTCCAACAGACAACCACTTATGGCTAAAAGCAATTAGCCCGAGGAGCAGTTCCTGCTTAAAACTCTGGACTACCTGTCTCCATTCACAATAACCTGATAAAGAAAATATGGAGCCAATATATCTCTGTTTAACCCCTCTGTTAAGTGATAAATTTACCTTAGAACTTAGTCTTTGAAAGATTTTGTAATCAATCATTTGTTCACGTAGAAAGAGTTAGTTAAGGGATCTGAAGAAGCCTTTTGAAAAACTGTTAACCTAAGAGGAACTACCCATTGTTATGTAAATCTGTTACCCCTGGCAACTGATTTCTGTACCTATTTAAGTGACTATGTAAAACTTCACTCATGGCTCTGAGATGGATGGAGAAATCCAGGCCTCCTGAGCACCCGCTTTGCCTATAATCTTTATAAATCTATAAAACTATACCTTCGTCTCTGTGTATTCTTTTATTGCCATTATTTTCCATTTTCTATTATTTTCTTATCCTTTGCAACCCTGCCAAAGGGACCTGGTTTTTTGCTGGGAGCCTGGCCCCCTCCCTGCAAAAATGTTCTGTGATTCTGGCAGATAATGTTAACGTATCCCAAAATTGTTAGTAGGGTAATATTAAAGTATTAAAAGATGCTTTAAGTGACTTGATAAGACTCAGATGAAAACTGAGTCACAATCCTATTAGATATAGAATATCCAAGAGAATGGATGATATACTTTAACCATATTGATAGTTTGATTCGAACAATTAGCCTTTGGTGAAGGATTATTGAAAAATCTGACAGTAAAGACTGTTTTACTAAATTAAATAATGAATGAGGCCAGGCGCGGTGGCTCACGCCTGTAATCCTAGCTCTCTGGGAGGCCGAGGCGGGCAGATTGTTTGAGCTCAGGAGGTCGAAACCAGCCTGAGCAAGAGCGAGACCCCGTCTCTACTAAAAATAGAAAGAAATTAATCAGACAACTAAAAATACATAGAAAA